TCTTTCTTTCTTTTCTTTCTTTCTTTCTTTTTCTTTCTTTCTTTCTCTTTCTTTCTTTCTTTCTTTCTTCTTTCTTCTTTCTCTTTCTTTCTTTCTTTCTTTCTTTTTCTTTCTTCTTTCTTTCTTTCTTTCTTTCTTTCTTTCTTTCTTTCTTTCTTTCTTTCTTTCTTTCTTTTCCTTTCTTCTTTCTTTCTCCCTCTCTCTCTCTCTCTCTCTCTCTTTCAGTTCAAGCATTTAATTTTCTATCGAAAGTCTACCAAAAGTGAGTATTTATGTCTGTGCTCTCTCAGAGTAAAGCTTACCTGCATTGTGGCCAGGTTCTTTAAATTTAAAACAAGTAAGTTCTGTGCAGTTCTCTGGCTATCACCTATGTCTTTTGGTGATAGGTAAATCGCATAGCTTCTGTGCCCTTTTCCATCTCTGATTTCAAAGTTCTCTTGAGAATCAAATGAAAAAAATATGTTAAATGCAAATATAGTTTCACATCATTCCTGTTTAAGCCAAATGTGGCAAAACAGAGCTACTTGCTGAACTTCACCAAAGATGTCTTTTGTTTGGTTCATATACATTTTAAAAATGAGAATCTGTCCAGTATTTAAAAGCCAGGGACTTTTTTATGAAAATCAATTTCCAGGTTTTCTTTAGGAATCTGAAGCTCCAGCTTCAGTGGGCCCATTTCCCTGTGGCAGCAGTTTGCTGGGGCTGAGTGTTAGCTGTCCCTCTCTGCCAGGGTGGGTTACTCTCCAGTTAACCACGCCCCTTGGCCACTTTCTCTCTCCCATGTATCATGCTTTCGCTGCTGTTTTTCTGATAGTAGAGTTAAAAGAAAAGTGAAATATTTCTTGTCTCCATGTCTCTATCAAAAGTGGGAAAAAGAAAGATAGACCAAGAGGGCCGTGTGTTTCAAGAAAAGTGGGAGAGAGCATATTTCTTCGTGGAAGTGCAGAATATTCCTACATGTTTAATATGCAAACAGAGCATGTCTGTGTCAAAAGAATACAACCTAAGACGCCATTATCAGACCAACCACAGTAAGCACTATGACCAGTATACTGAGAAGATGCGTGATGAGAAGCTTCATGAGTTAAAAAAAGGACTTAGAAAGTATCTCTTAGGGTCATCAAAAATTGTGTGTCCTGAGCAAAAACAAGTGCTTGCAAATGTGAGTCCAAATGAAAATGCTGCTGTGCAGCCTGTAGAAGACGTGACTGGGAACTTATGGGAGAAACTACGTGAAAAAATCAAATCATTTGTGGCATACTCCATTGCAATCGACGAGATCACAGATATCAATAATACCACCCAGTTGGCCATATTCATCCGTGGCGTTGATGAGAATTTTGATGTGTCAGAAGAACTTTTGGATACAGTGCCCATGACAGGTACAAAATCTGGAAATGAGATCTTTTTGCGTGTTGAGAAAAGCCTTAAAAAGTTTAATATTGACTGGTCGAAACTAGTAAGTGTGGCCTCAACTGGCACCCCTGCCATGGTAGATGCGAACAATGGGCTTGTTACAAAACTTAAGTCCAAGGTGGCCATGGTTTGCAAGGGCTCGGATCTGAAGTCCGTGTGCTGCATTATTCACCCGGAGTCACTCTGCGCTCAGAAGTTGAAGATGGACCACGTCATGAACGTGGTAGTGAACTCCGTGAACTGGATATGCTCCCGGGGCCTGAACCACAGCGAGTTCACGACGCTGCTCTATGAGCTGGACTGCCAGTACGGCAGCCTCCTCTACTACACGGAGATTAAGTGGCTCAGCCGTGGGCTCGTGCTGAAGAGATTTTTTGAATCTTTGGAAGAAATTGACTCCTTCATGTCATCCAGAGGAAAGCCCCTGCCCCAGCTGAGCTCTCAAGACTGGGTCAAAGACTTGGCCTTCTTGGTCGATATGACAATGCATCTGAACACTCTGAACATCTCTCTCCAAGGCCATTCACAAGTCGTTACGCAAATGTACGACTTGATCCGGGCGTTTCTGGCAAAACTGTGCCTTTGGGAAACTCATTTGGCAAGGAATAATCTGGCCCACTTTCCCACGCTGAAATCGGTTTCCAGAAATGAGAGCGATGGCCCGCACTACATTCCCAAAATTGTGGAATTAAAGACTGAATTCCAGAAAAGACTGTCTGATTTCAAACTGTATGAGAGTGAACTGACCCTGTTCAGCTCCCCCTTCTCCGTGAAGATCGAGAGTGTGCACGAAGCGCTGCAGATGGAGGTTATCGATCTTCAGTGCAACACGGTGCTGAAGACCAAATACGACAAGGTGGGAATACCGGAGTTCTACAAATACCTCTGGAGTAGCTACCCGAGGTATAAAAACCACTGCGCGAAGATTCTCTCCATGTTCGGGAGCACCTACGTTTGTGAACAGCTGTTTTCCATTATGAAACTGAGTAAAACGAAATACTGCTCCCAGTTACAGGACTCACAGTGGGACTCCGTCATCCACATCGCGACCTGAAGAGCATGCTCCTGGCGGCGCCCCGTGGGGTGTAAGACTAGAACCCCTGGGCCCAAGGGACCTTGAAATGGGAAAATGAATTATTAAATGTTTCTGTTTTTCGGGGTTTTTCACTGTGACTCGGAAATATAATTTGCAGTATCATACCTGTTTTTATGACATTTTATGCTTCACTATAGTCCAGTAAAAATCAAGAAAGTTTTCTTGTATTTCTAGGAGTTGACTTTTCTTATGCCTGACCCGTGTCACTCATTCACATAATTGCTTGACCCCTGTAGGTGTCGGGGCTGGCACCTCCAGGTTTAAATCAGTCAACAGAGACCAGGAGATAAACAGATGTGCGTATTCACTGAGGGGCACATATGCACACACACATTTATCACGCACACGCACCCTTTTGAATGGTGTCCCTGTGGCCTAACACGATTCCACGTTTGAGTTCACAGACTGTAGTCTTGTGTTGTCAGCCTCGACCTCCACATGAACCCAGAAAGGGAGAGCTTAAAATGGGAAACCCCAAAACAAGTAACATGTGCCTTAAAAAGGCAAAGAAAATTGAGGTTTGGGAGTTGTCTTTTTTATAACTTTAAAATTCCGAATTTATAGAAAAGTTGCAGAAATGAAAATAGTATGAACACTTATATGCCTTTTAGCCAGATTCTCATAGTGCAACATTTTACCCTGATGTTTTATCATGTTTGCTTTCTCTCCCTCTCTCTTTCATGTGTGTACAACAATGCCGATAAGTGTATACATGAATTAGTATCTATAACATGTATGTAAACATGTGCATAATTTTTTTCTGAACCATTTCAGGGAAAGTTGTACACAGCATTTACCCCTACATACTTCATGGAGTGTTTCCTAAGAATAGAGATATTCTCTTACATTACCGGGATTTAGTTATCAACTCCAGCAATACTTTCACCCAGTTTACCATTCATACTTCAGTTTTCTCGGTTGACCCAATAATGTCCTTTCTTTTATAGCATTATCCCCCTGGAGAGTTTTTATTTGTAAGCATAGATATATGCATCTGTGTAATTAGTCTCTATTCATCATTGGAATTAGTGACTCAAAATTGTCAGTCCTTTCCAGGTTGGAGGAATTAATCTGACGAGGGGGCAGAAAGGCTGAGAATCCTGACCTGCTGACCCATTCGGGAAGCAATGGAGGCGGCTTTAACACAAGTGAAGGGAGGCTGCAGGAGGGAGGACCATCTCCCGGTGGTTACCTGCACAAGGCACCCAGCCCCAGCTGGAGCCTGAGGCATGTCCTCAGACACAGGAAATGACCGAAGCCTGGCAGTCCCTGTCATTGGAAGGTTGCCTGCAGGTACAGCTGGGTCCCACTGGCTTAGAGGCTCACTTCCCGGCGAAGAGATCCAGGATGGACTGGTTTACAGTGGGGGTGGGGGGACCAGCTCCTGAGCAGATGTGGATCTCAACTATCAGAGGTGGGGCCCTGCATGATCAACCAGATTTGCCTGAGATTTGGGATCTTGGGTAATCTGCAAACAACATGGGACGGCCGATAGGAAAAGCTCAGCCTCCTCAATTTATAGACCAGCAGCTGAGGCTCAGAGTGGTTGAGTGGCCTGCCCCAGGCCATACATCCAATAGAAGAGTCTTCAGGATTCAAACCCAGGTCTGTGTGACTCGTCCATGCTCTTTTCCTTCTCTTAAGTGGCCGCTGCCTGACGTGGAGACCTGGTGTACAGCCTTAGCTCATTGTCTGCACACATGTGGCTCCCTGGTGGTTAGCCCATTGGGGACAGGAAGGGGACAGCAGGGTTCAGCCTGGGCCACTTTCTGTTGACTGGGCCATTCATGCAGTGCTTTGAATCAACTCCTAAAGCCCCTAGGTTCCTTTACCCTGCAACGTGTGTTGGGACCAGAGTGGCTTGACCAGCACTGTCACTCATATGACTGAGGAAGTGACTGAATGAGTGGGGTGGTTTTCAGCAGTCATGGTAATGCGGTGTCTACAAATGGGAGCACTCTGGAGTGCTGTGCGCACAAAGGTGGGGAAGGGCCCAGCCCAGGAGCAGGAGCCTGGGTTTGGTGCTTCCCTGTCAGTTCCCTGGCGAAGGTGCCCTGCATCACTCGGTCCCAAGGCCCTGTATTCCCATCCGCAGTGGGCAGAGGAAAGAACTGCTTACTCCAACACAGGAAACAGAAATGGGGGGCTGCAGAGGAGTCTGGAAGCTGTCCCACATCACACTCCCTCCTCTGAACGTCCCTCAACCACGCATGACCTACCAGGACTGAGGCACAGATCACGAGCTCTGCAGAGTCCAGTAGGGCTTTGGAATCAGAAAAAAGAAAGCCTGGCTCCATCTCCCACCTCTGCCACTTACTTGTCCTATTACCTTAAATCACCTACATTTCTGAGCCTTGGTTTCCTCATCGTGAAGTACCTACCTAACAGGGTTGTTCTCAGAACTACGTACAATGTAAACAGCCCAGCACTATGCTTGGACTCAAGAAAACTGCACAAGCAGTGCAGGCGTAACTCAGACCCCGTCTACCTATTTCATGCCCACCCGGTGGCTTCTAGTCAGTTCCCCTGTGGATGGCAGAGGCTTCCTGACCTCAGGCACGTCCAGCACCAGGGTCCTCCACACCAGCATGTTGTTTTGGGGCCAGCACACCACCACCACCTCCAGGGAACCAGAAATACAGGAAAATGTGGGGAAAAGGACTTTACTTTGAAAAAACAATGAAACTGCCCTGGCTGGTGGTGCTCAGTGGTTAGCGCATTGGACTGAGCACCGAAGGGTCTCAGGCTCCATTCCCAGTCACGGACATGCACCTGGGTTGCACGATGGACCCGCCCCAGTCCGAGTGCCTACAGGAGGCAACCAACCAATGTGTCTCTCTCACATCAATGTCTCTCTCTCTCTCTCTCTTCCCTCCTCCCTTCCTCCCTCCCTCCCACTCTCTCTCAAAATCAATGGAAAAAATGTTGGGTGAGAATTAACCAAAAAAAGGAAAAAAAGGAAACCAAAACTTATGAAAAGTATTTTATCTTATACTGTATTTAATTTTTTAAAGTTATAATTGCAACCAAACAAGCTAAAAGGTTAGGGTTGCCTGTGGTTAATTTTTCCACAGCTTTGCATGATACTCCTTGATACTGGACTTTTCCAGCAAACAGGAATCTGCAGAAAGCAAAAGGAGTTGAGGGCCCAGTGGTTTTCTCAAGGCCTCCCTAAATCGTTTGATAGTCAATTATTGTCTTTAGAAGTACCAGTCTCCTTGCCGATTTTCTCTGATCTCTAAGAGCACCAGCCTTAGCTATCCTCAGGTAGCCACTCCCCCACAGGAGGAGCAGCTCTTCATGCCACGCATGGCCTTTGCGACAAGCTGCATCTTTTGCAAGATTTGCAGCTCTAATGTGTACCTCAGAGTCTTTGCATTTTGGGAAAGACCCACCAGCAAAGCCTTTGAGGCCATGGGCTGGCAGTAACACTGGGGTAAGTGGTTAGGATGTGTTCATGTGAATACTTGCTCTCTGGTACAGCCTCCTAACTGGGCAGGCTCTCAAGTGAAGAATCAGAGGCGCCTCCTCCTTATACCCAAATTGCAGTTGTTTTTTTCAACTAAGGTGCACACACAAAGTCGCGCACTGCCCTTAGCCCCGCACTGCGCACTGTGTTCAACCCTTCTCCGGGACTGCTCTGCAGTGGGGCCAGGGTTCTAGCAGGCCATTTCTGACCAAACAAACGGCCAGCGGGGCCAGGAGTTCCTTTTGCATTTGGCCTTGTGCAAACTTGATCTTGGCCAAGGCCAGGGCAAGTATGCAACCTGACCTCGGCTCTAGCAACTTCCTCCCACCCCCGCCCCCAGCGGAGTTCAGAGCCCAGTCCTAATTCTAGCCCCAGCACCCCTCGAGTCTCTGCAGAGCCACTGTCCACTCCAAGCAACATTTATTGAGGATGGCGGGTAGCCGGGGGGGCGGGGTCTCCAGACCCCGGGCTCGAATCTCATATATATAGGGTTCCGGGCGGAGGGGCCAGGGCGCCGCCTGGGGCGGT